TCGTTGGCTTGTTCGGCACTGTTGTTTGGTTTTCCGGTCTTGGTAAGTTCCTACAAGAAAGAAAAAAGGATAATCATTAGAAACCAGAACAGATGACAGATGTCTTTTTCTTCTTGGAGATGACGAGACGTTTGGCGCGCTCGTAAAGGCACTTAACAATACCGCGTTTTACTGATTGAGGGTGGTGTGAATCATACGCTAAGTATTGATCGGTGTGCGTGGCCTTCCTGTGTACGCTGGTGGTGAGGCGGCTGTCACGTTCTCTTAGAACTTCGGTGTCTAGGAAGGCGAGTTTTTTGTCATTCTCTGTCTCCATGGTGAAGCGGATGGAAGGCTGCTGGTTGTTTAGATGCTGTAAGAAGTCATACATGTTTCCGCGATTCAAGATGGTAAAGGTATCGTCCACGTAGCCTGGCTACACGTGGATACAGGCGGCTGTGTCACCGGTTGATACACCGTATGTTGACGAAACTAACTGGGTTATTAATTTATCTTCTAGGTCCCTTAGCGATGCCGAGAAAGCCCTACTGAAGAAAGGACTGAACTTCGCCGTAACTCCTGCGAATATTCCTGCCACAGAGATCATAGCCAAGGTCGAAGCAGCCGTAAGACAACTCGACGCCGAACAAGCAGATACTGTCAGAAGAGCTGTTAACGGTATCCTTCAACAGGCAGAACCACCAGAGGCTAACATCACGAAAGAGATGCGAGATACACTTAAAAGCCTGAAAGAAGACGAGTCCATCATGGTTCTCCCAGTAGACAAAGGGCGCGCTAGCGTAGTCATGGATACCGACACCTACCGAGCTAAGATGTCTACGCTTATTGAGAACGGACCGTACCAGCTCCTCAATAAAGATCCGACAGACTGTCTGACCTGCAAGTTGTCGGACAAGCTGCTTACCTTGAAGCGAAGCGGATATCTATCAGACGCCGTTTGCAACAAGATCAGACCCCGACACAAACAGCCGCCTAGAATCAACGGTTTACCGAAGATTCATAAGGCCGATGTACCTCTAAGACCTATTTTGTCGTGCCTAAACACCTTTGCATATGATTTATCCGCTAACCTAGCCAACATCTTGTCTTCTTTAACAGGAAATTCAGAGTATACGGTAACCAATTCAGCTCCCTTCGTCTCCACCGTCAGCAATGAGACGATCCTAGACAACGAGATCATGATATCTTTCGACGTAGAGTCGCTGTTTACCAACGTTCCTATCGACGCCGCTGTACAAGCCGCACTGCAGAAACTCGAGAATGGCCCTTGCCTTGCAGACCGCATTACGCTAACGCCTGCACCGATCGCTGACCTTTTGACCTTCGTACTGAGATCCACGTACTTCCAGTATAACGGATTGATTTACGAGCAAAAAGACGGCGCCACCATGGGGAGTCCGGTTTCCGCTGTTTTCTTCCTTGTAAAGAGATACTACACATTTCTTAAACTAAAATCTGAATCATGACGTCAACTTAATTTCAATGAGTTTGAAACTTCATTGTACATAAAAACACTTTACTAGAGTATGTTACATTTATTTGCTGTCTTCCTGGTACATATGATTACAGAACCCTTTAACTTTAAAGATTTCATGAGTAATTCGCTTTACTGTCTGTCATACAATTTATGTGATTAAGAAAGACGTTTTTCCGTCTTGTCACGAGCGTGAGACAAAGAAGAAATTCTGAGTCCCCATGAGGAATCGAATCTCAGACTTTCGGATTTGCGCTCCCGCGCCCTACCACTGAGCCACAGAGACTCTACGGTGAGAAAGGTCTATTACGAAGTTCATAAGACACGCGTCCTGCATACTGCTAGGATCAGCAATGTCCATAGCGTACTGTTTTTAGATAGAAATAGTAGAGATGGTAAGTTATGAGCTCGGTAAAGAATTAAGAAAGATGTTTTTTCGTCTTGTCACGAGCGTGGGACAAAGAAACAATTCTGAGTCCCCATGGGGAAATTGGGGGTGCGGCTTATCTGCGGGAACATTTGAAAAAGGTGTCCGATGTTCGCGTCCGATCTAATGCCTGGTTACTAAGCTTCGACTGTTGCGCCCATGTTCTTGTTGTAATGCAAAATTCTATGGAAAAACTGTGTTGAATGAAGAAATTCTTATCAACAAATACCAGAAAAAGATCAATCATATGTCAAAGTTGGTAGAAACGACGTTCATTATATTAAATTGCTAAAATTGTGGGTAAGACTTGAAGTGTTTTCCGTTGCAATGTTGATAGCGAGTTCACGTTCGATGAACAGTGGATGAAGAAGACTTCTTAAGACTCGACTTTGGATTTCTTTTGATTTCTTTTAAAAGACTTTTTTCCAAAATTTGAGCTGCTAAATTCAGGGTGCGGCTTATCTGCGGGGCTTTACGGTAATTAGATATTGGATTCTACATTCCAACTGGGTGAGATTATGTCATGCTTCATTATGGTTTGTTTACATGGAAAGGTAATTGTTATTATGGCTTCACAGATGTTTTGATTGCCGTCGCAATTAACATTCGTAACAAAGTTTTATTTAACATAGAATGTTTTAAGAACTTTCTTCCTATCTCTTCAATACCATTTACTATTTCTGGAGTACAATTCAAGGAAGCAGGTTATTCAAAAATTTATAACTGTTAATTTAGTTATTTATTTGATTGTGTCAGTAACATTTGATGTTTCCACATGTAACAGGATGATCAAGCTGACGATAGCCATTGTGACAATTAGGTGACTAATTTGGAAACTTGAGCACTTGATAAATACGTCCTTGGCTTGCGATTCTGATGATTACAGTTTGCTGAGGTAATTGAAATGTCAGTCCCCACGCAGGAACTTTCTTGACCTGTACAGTCATATGCTATGAGATAACTTTAGAGAAATGCATTTGTGTCAGTAGACACAAATTAACGATTTCCTGTAAGCATGAACATTTGAGAGAAGTTATGATGGTAATCGACCCTTTCTTTGCTATGATGCATAGGGCGTGATGATTGTAAAGTATATCTTTTAGCTTTCAAACTTTCAACTTTGTATTAATTGTAACTGTTTGCCATATCTATTTCTCTGTTCCTTAAGCCCTCAAAGTTGAAGCAAGTGATAACCTGACTTCTTTTGTTTGGAATTGTGTGATTACATAATTTTGCTGTGTAAGTTACCACTTTGTAACATGTAATATTATTATTTAGATTGCATTAAATACTCTTGCTCAAGCTTTTATTAATGCATTCTGTTTCTTTCCAATGCTCATACCCAAACTAAACACTAATATAAGGAATTAATCACAAGATATGTGAGTTTTAAAGGGTGGAAATCTGGAGAAGCAAGGATCCTCCTTTAATTAGGACTGAAATTAATGGGGGCCCTGTTATTTTGATTCATGTTTTTACCTTGACCTGCCTCCTCCCCTGTAATGTTTAGGGCACATAGATAAAGAGAACATTTTTTGTATTTTAACGCATGAAAGTTAAATTAATTGGCGTCCACATAATGCACAAAGTAAGAATATAAATGCCTCAGCTTTATAGGTTAAAAAATAAAAATAAGAGACTTCTGTGGACCATATCTTACTTTTTATCCCCCTCTGGATATTTATTCAAATAACATAGTCACTATCGGTTTCATTTACTCTCACTTTCCACTGAGCTTGTGGACAGATGATAACTTCAGTATATCTTTGAATGAAAAAAGGAAAGCCTGCCCTCTTACCACAGATAGTTCTTTTGTGCATTATCAGTACAAACCTGGTCTAATTCATACACGAAGGTGATTGTTCCACGTAAGTTAACTTTATAAATTGTTTGTGAAAATTTCTTGAACCTGTCGTCCTTTTTATTCAATTTTACCTCACTAACCTAAACTAAATAAATAGAAACTTGAAATTTATTTGTTATGCTTTTGAGGTGTGCATCAAAATTTCGAAGGCTCAAACACGAGTTGAAAATTACTTCTCTTTTCAATTTTTTACGCTGAACAGAGGAGGCTAAAACGTTACGGAAAGACGGTGGAGTAAGCGGTCATACCTGGCAACTTCAAGAGAAGATATGAGAGAAGCCCGTACGATTCAGCCGTAGTGTTTCACTGACTCGCTGTTCTCACTCTTCAATCGACCAATCGTCTTAACGCAAAGTAGTTTACCGTCGTTTCTTTCGATTTTGGCTCAATTTCCCAAGTCAATTATAAGTCACGCTCAATAGAATATAATTTCGACTGATGCTGACATCATACACTTCATCTGAAGAAGAAAACATTCCCTTATCTTCGAAAATTTGCTCAAAACATCAGGAACAACAACGAAGGTCCTAAGCTGTTGAAGATACCGCTGACTAGCATGCGTGTTGATCGCCTTGCAAGTTGTGAGAACATCGTCCCCATGTTCCAGACCCCGTTAATGGTTCACCCCTCCCCAACCCCCAGACTGGTCCCTAATTTCCCTGGAAGAGACTCTTCTACAGCCAGTGCTAAGGAGTTTTATTACAGTTTTTACTTAGAATAATGAAGGGCTGGAAAATAAATTGACGAGAGCTCCACTTTTAGGAATGTTGATATGATAACCTGTTACTCTCTGATATCGGACCCTAAATCTGGACATAGCTAGGCTTCTGAACAGTTTCCTATTTCTGAATAAACTGTTATCTCGTTTCATGTGCACATTGCGTTGGGTGGTAAGTGGCGCTCGTAATTCGTTCCCAGGGCATCTCCATTGGTCTTTTACTTATGATCAATTGAGAGACAGACGGATAAGTGACGTCCACATGAAAAAAAATTAGCTTTGTCTATTACATAAAACAAATGTAATCTATGTTACGGTGGGTCTGTTCATTAATATATCACAGAGGACGTCATAGAGCAGTTGGAACATCAGTGACACGCTCGCCTGCGCCTAGTGTACCATTTTGCTGTTCTTACCACATTATGACTTCGTCTGTGATCTATTACTAAACAGAACCACAGCAAATTGGACGTTGCGTGACACCCCGAAACATGACAGTGTGAGAGATTTTAAGGAGTTCGGATGACGTAAACAAGAGCGAGACCAGCGTAAGCTGAAAAGAAAAATTAGAACTTGAGTCTATAAATTCCGGACTTGTTTTCTCTCGATAGCTCAAAATATATAACGAAAGCTTTACAAAGCTAGGTTACCTAGCCTAGTCCAGGCAGTCACTTAATGGGAAGGAATAAATAAAGCGTCTTTTTTACATCTTTCTCAGTATCGTTGTTTTGACTCCAAGCTTCGTAGGTGCAGAGGAGTTATCAACACAATTTTCCTGTTTTGAATCATAGAAGACACTTGAAATTTTGCTCTGCACGTAAGACACCCGAGTTGACTCTCACGTTTCTGTCGTGTTTAGAAACCACCCGTTCATGAGAGAGCACGTATAGTCACACTTATTTTATTATTCAGTTGTTCCTGCTGTGTTAATACACGACTGTGTAGATTCTTACTTTACATAGAAAGACTCAAAAATGTTAGTAAGAATCTTGAGCTTACCGGCATCTTGAGATACCAAGATTGCAGCCAGAGCAACTGCACCGACTAACAAGGAAGCGAGACAATCCAAACGTGTACCGAGCCACCTACCGCTGGCCATCACCATAATATACGCCTGATTATGAACATCTTGATATCTGAGGGGACAAGTTTTTATCACAATAAGTTTTAATAATGAAGTTATTTTTTAGTTGACTGTCGAAAATAAACCGGGTTGTATCAGCTTTGTATTACTTTGAATGGTGATTGGTCCAGCAAACTTACGCAAAACCAACTGCCTATTGGTCGAACGCGTTTCTCAGAGTTCAATGCCGTTTCCTTGTTTTTGAGTTAAGTCCTCTGTCACTACTTGTGATCTTTTGTTTTGTTTTGATTGGCTTGTTATTATAAAATAATATTTTCCTTACGACAATCACTCCAAAAAAATCTCAAAGAGATTACATCTGGTCTGCACACTTAAATGAGGCCAGTGTCTCCTTTGGCCTGACAATGTAACGGAGCCCTTCAACAAATTCCGCCCGACACCGCTGCCCTTCAAAAAGATGTTACTCTCCAAGGAACATCCGTAAGCTTCTTGCTAAGTATCCGAAAGATCACTTCCGTAACCACATCTCATTCTTAGGTATGCTCCATTCGTCCAGATGAAGTGAGAGCCGCTAGAGCCGAGTTTCTTAACGATATGAATACTTTTCCATTAAAAATGGTAAATTCGCCAAAAACAGACCCGTTCTTAATTGTTCACTATCACAACTACATCTTGTATGCTAAGTATAACATTTATCAGAAGTAGAAGACGAGTGGCACTCGTCTGTATTTCCTGTTAATTAAACTCATAATGGTAATAGGACTGAGTGGAGTCCAATTCGGCCAGTAATCATACGAGTGATTAACAAAAGGGGACGACTGCGAGGCGGGAGTCTGACTTTTTTAATCACGAGTATTATTAAAGGCAGAATTGCACGACATGACGTTCTCTTACCAATTGATCAAAACTGTGACAAAATTAGAGAAAGAAACTAACATCGCTTATACGTTTCATACATTTGTTATAGTTTCGACTAATTGTGAAATTTCTACGTCAGGCGATCTTGTTGATTGACGGTTCATATTATGCGACTGTTGAAACCCTATCAGAAGGATGAAAACCGCACAGAGCAATTACTGTAGTCTCACAACTGGTAATACCCCTCGTGCCTCTTTCGGATAGCTTCGTTTCGCCACCGTGCCTGGTGCCGAAAGGTCCACTTGCTGACCAGTGTCTCAGCACGTACCGGATAGGATTACAAAAGACACGTCATGCCATTTCGCGTATTGCCGGCAAATTAAAAAAATAGCTCACAGAAAACGAGCGACTATGAGTCACTATTGCCCTGTGCATTTATCGGCTCTGACACCACAAACTGAATCAATGTCTCTGACATACCTGTAGAGTGCATCCACAAAATCTGTCTGTCTTCCTCTCGTACGAATCGTGTCCAGTCCTATCAGGGTCTCCGAAAAATGAGCGAACACTGGGCTTCGGGATATCGACTCTAACCTCTTTAGTTCTCTGGCAGTCTTCAAGTAATAATTGGATAGAAAAACGACCAACATGGAAATTGGAACAACAAGAAACATCAGCCAAACATTTGTGACAACTGTTACCAGAATTTGGCCAAATATCACCAAGAGCATCTGCATTGCCGCCAGGAATGTTTTGGGTAACATCTCATCTACGCAGCCAATATCATTGGAGAAACGATTTAGGATTCTTCCCACTGGATTAGAATCAAAGAACAGGACAGGTGCTTGTAAAATGGCCACAACCATTTTATCGTGAAGACGCTCGGCGCACTTCAGACAAACATGGAAGAATCCGTGAGCCCGAACGATAGTAAATATAAAACACGCGCCAACCAGACAGGCGAAGACAGATAGATAAGTCTTGTTCTTCTGATCCTCTGGGTTTAGCCTTGCAAGAAACGAAAGCCACAAGTCTGGAGCAACTATGATGGCTGAAAGAAATACCATTAAAATGCGGTGGTTGAAATTTACTTTTGTATGATCACTCAGTTGAACATTGTAAGATTTATTGGGCCCAAACACAACTCGCCTGGATTACCTACTACCGTTAACGTCTTGGGGATGTTTATGCAAGCACCACAACGTCACAGAATAGATGAGGTAGTTAACCATGTCACACATAAATATTATTTAAAAAACTGCTTTTGGTCTCAAAGAGTTAGTCTGTAGAGCGAGTGGTTTTTCGACCTTTTCATGCGAGTGGAGGCAAGTGTAAGGCAAACGCGAGGAGAAAAACACCAGCTCTTCCTTTCGCGCGAAACTCGCCATTCACTCCCGCTTGCCTCGCGCTTGTACGAGCAAGTGAGATATCGGAAACATGGTCAGAAATTTGTGCAGTGTCTCTTAACGCTACCTGCTAATCTAAAAAGAACGTTTATTCTTGGTTAAAAGCATAGCCATTGTGAAATTATTTGCACGAAACAGAATAAAAGAATAGAAGAAACGAAATATAGAAAAAAGGTTGCTGTTTCCCCTGTTAGAGCCTGACCCAAGGTTTGTAACTCACTCAAACAATAAGTTTACCTTGAGTAATGAGACTTAAACCAACCATTCCAGTTAGCATCAAAGGATGTGCTCCACTTCTGAAATAGTCCCAATAAAGCCTGGATGTCACAACTCCGATTCCCCGATCCTCCCGTGCTATCTCCAAACTCTTCGCCTCATTGGTCAGGGGATGTATTATCTGGCACTTTTCAGCATCATCGTGTTCCTCCTTATCTTCCCAGCAGAACGGCTCAGATGAGTCCGTTTTGTCCTTCAGAGCTACTTTACAGAGCGGGTCAACAGTTGAATTGATTACACCTTTTTCTTGCAGCTCAGTAAAGCGTCCCTTGTCGAGGACACGCCCTTTATACAACACAATCACTTCATCAGCATTTTCCATGTGCTGTTGCTGATGAGAGGCAAACAGGACGATTTTATCGCCCAGTAGATCTTTGATGCACTTGTTAAAGATGTGTTGGCCAACTTTAAAATCGACAGCACTCAGTGGATCATCCAATAGATAAATATCTCCTTCAGCATAAACTGCACGAGCTAAACTTACTCTCGCCTGTTGTCCTCCACTCAGAACCTCTCCGCGTTCTCCAACAACTGTTTGGTCACCATCAGGTAACCGCTGAAAGTCTTCTTTCAGAGCGCAGGCGTCGATTATTATTTCGTACTTGGACTCCTCGAAGGGTTGACCAAACAGAATGTTTTCTTTTACCGTTCCCGAAAACACCCAAGCAGTCTGAGGTAAGTAAATGACAGACCCTTGATAATCAATCGTCCCAATGGTGTTCCAAATTTCACCAGCGATCGCTGAGAGCAGAGTAGACTTACCACTTCCAACCGGGCCGGTGATGACTGTTAAACTCTTTGAAGGTGCAAAGAAGTTGATATCCTCAAGAATAAATTCATCTTCATGATGCGTTTTTGCGTAGCTTAAATTTGACACACATAATATAGTAGGCCCTAATTCTCTTGACTCACGAGAGAGGGAAACTTTCTCCGTATTTTCCTCTTCTTTTTTCAAGTAACTGCGACTGAGGTAAGTTGCGGTACTTTTCGCTTTTTGTTGAGGCTCGTTGCTTACATCACTCTCAGAGGCTTGCAACAGATTTTCCAGGAGAAGGAATTCTTCGATTCTTCCGAGCGAAACGTAGGCGTCATACGTTACCATTAAACCTGATGTCATGTTCACCATACCACTAAATTTGATAACACCCATAAACGACAGCAGCATGAAAACATTGGCGGGCGTGAGGGTCTGGCCTGTAAGCACCATAATAATTACTGACACCAGAGTGGCCAATGGCGTTGCACTGTATAACAAGGCATCAATACTTGACTGAATGGCTGTCCTCTTCGAAATGACGCTGATTTCATTTCTGCAGATAAAAGTTGTTCATCAGTTATGTGGGCATTCTGTCGAACCAATTCGTCCTATGTGTTCTCTCTAATTTGAAATATATAGGAGGTGAGCGGGCAGCAAGCGCACCCTTCCTCATCGTTCACTTCTTCGTGAAAGTGCGTCTTTTGCGAACCCACGACAGCGCATGAGAAATAATACTAACTGAATTCAAGTTAGACTCAATGAGATGTTCTACCTATGATAACGAACAATTATGCTCCGAAGTGGAGGTGATAACCACCCTTTTTCACCGACACTGAAGTAAAAACGATTACAATATTTTCGGGTGCAAATCCCGAACGAGTCGCTCGAAGATGAATTGCAAAGGATATTCGGAGTTTGAGTAGCCAATCAGAGTACACTTTCAACACTTTCTACTCAGTAGATACTGATATTTATTAACTGACCGGCCAGTCCTATGGTTATGAAATGGGTTACATGAGACACTTTTTTTGTTTGAACTGCTTAGCTAATAAAGCTCTCAGTGGAGACAAAACATATTTGTGGATTTTGAATAATTTAGGTCAACAATCAAGGGGATGAATACAGATAGTTGTTTAAGCCCACTTCTGATAAAAACTGACAATTTACCTTACCTTCTTACATGTTTTATCTTTCGTCTATATTCGTCCTCCCATGCATGCGTTTTGACCGCGCGGATCCCGGAAACTACTTGATTCATTAGGGAGATTCGCTGATCGGACACTGTAGCTGTGCGCAAGCGCAGCTTAGCATTAGCATAGGACAAGACGGCAAAGTATGGCATAAGAAAACAAAGAAGGAACACACCCATAACAGCCTGCCAGCCAATCAAATTGTAGATAAGGAATATTGCCCCTACATAAGCAGGGACTGCGAAAACGGCTGCGACAAAAAACTTGACTGTCTCTTCTTCCATTCTTTTAACATCATTGGATATCAGGTCGAGTAAACGTCCTGCAGTGAATTTCAGTAACGTCTGCTTGCTGAGTAGAAGTGTCTGAAAGAGAGTACATATTAGACATTAGAGAAGTATGTTCCATAAACCATATGATTTTAATCTACGGCATAAAGACATCCGTTCCTGCGTTTCGAGACGAGAGTAAACAAAACTCTACCAAATTATCTTTAAATGTGAAAAAGAGCCACAACTAAGGCGCCATTTTGAATCTCGCTAAGAAGCGTGGCCTTTTGAGAAAAGCCTAAAAAATTATTTCTGGGTCGGATAGATAAAGGTGTTTTTTCGGCTTAGTTTGGAGTGTTTAGGGTATTAGAAAAATCAGTTGAGCCTATGACAAGTGCATAGAATACTCTTTAGGATCGTGCCTACCTTGTGGTACACCAGTCCCCTCAGGGCGCTTCCTATTTTGATCCCCAATATTTCACATCTGTAGCTATCCTGGTGCATACCAAGACCACCGATCAAACCATTGAGACACATAGCTAATGCGCAGGCGTAGAGCCGATAAGCATTCTCTGCCTCAGTTGACATAAGCTTAGAAACAAGATACCCCAGGAACAGTGGAAAGAGAAGGCGAGAAGTTGTGCACAATATATTCCCCATCAAAATGATGATAACATCTTTGGCAGAAAGCATGTAAAACACGCTTTTCCAAAGTTTGGGCCTTTTCCCATTCATCTTGCAATGATGTTTCTCGCTTTCCCAGATTTTTTTAAGCTTGTTGGTGACAAAACGGCCAGAGTTCTCGTCTGACAAGGGTAAAAAGTCATTTTGATCCAAAGGTCTTTGACTGCCCTCCTTAAGGACTCCGTTCATCCAACGATAAAAAAGTGAAGATACAAAACTGACTTTTTTATCTTCATCACAAGAGATTTTCTTGTAACTGCCTTTTGATGCCATCGCTTGAGACCTACAAAATACATAGCCATTATTAGCATGTTCAACGCAATGACCAAATGTCTTTGCATGTTGTTCCAGGATTTCAGAACCAACCTGCCCTCTAAGAGTTGTGAACTTCATAAAATCCAATAAGTCACGGTGTTTTGTAGAACCTTATGACTTTTATATAGCCTAGAATGATATGGCCTAAAACAAAATGGTAAATAACCGTCATCGAATAAGCTTTGTGCTCGATGAGTGTCGAGTTTTCCTTTCTTTACTTTTTATGAACGTTTAATTTTCTTGGCATAGTTAGCGTGACAACGGTTGCTACCCTTTTTTCTGTTTAAAATTTTGCGCGGGAAATTTGCGAGCGGCCGGCCAAAATTGATCACCTTGCTTGGGTGAGCCTTTTGAGCTGCAGGCTGCCTCTAGATAGAAACCAAATAACGGGTGAACAATATCGTGCAATTATTTGAGGAAGCGGCATGGAACTAACTTTTCATTCCGAATGGAGTTTCCACAATTTTTCGCCATCCCGCTTTCCTTCTTGTCTCCTCTAAGCAAGAACTTGTCGCATGACAAAAATATTAGTCACAAAAATAAATCAATAATTGTAATTAATCGAGGGTCTCAATGGGGTGATGGCTTTTACGGCTATCGGTTAAAATTTTGGCCAATTTTCGGCTAACTGTTAACACCTTTCCATCGTTTCCACCAGAGATATTTTTTTACGGTTAGCTTTTTTTACGACTAACGGTTAAAATTTGTCAATTTTTACGTCTAACGGCTAAATATTTTGGCCGTTTTACGGCTAACGGTTAACCCCATTGGGACCCTCTTAATCACACACGAGATGGGTTTCATCGGTCAGGAAGCCATTTTTTTATAAAACAGTTTCAAAACACTCTCTGTCTTTTCTAAGACAAATTTGAACAATTCCTATTCGTTCGTATGGAGAGCCAAAACCAGTTCGAGGGATTGACAAGCCTGACCTGATTTACCTATATGATTATCGACAATTTACTTAGGCAGAGAAAGTCCATAAGAACAAAAACATATTCCACAAAATGATCAACATGCAATATTAACTTCTATCATTTGTCCTTGAAAATGACAAGATCACAATGTCACAACTTAAGTCCCAGCAAACGAAGTAATGGGCTCCTGGTAACAGAGAGTATCTTGTACTGTGGCAAAGGAATCAGCAAAAGTTTCAACAAAACAAGTTACGCAACAGAGAGTATCCTAGACAAAACGCAATAGTCTCCACTATTGAAATGACGTTTCGTATCAAGGTTGATTCGCATCAGGAGAAGCAAAGATTTATTGTAACATTTTCAGTAGTTCGAATGCAGTAGTTTGTTCGCATTCAATTCTTGCGTATACTGCACGACTTGCTTTAATAAATGCGGCAGAATTGGAACGAAATGGCTGTTTTTCTTTACCTTTATTGAGGAATGTTGTGTTTTGATTGAAAAGAACATCGACAAAAGCTTGCAAATAGAATTGGTTACCAAATATGATACAAACGATACTTAAAAGGAAAGTTTGGTAGGTTGGTCCAAATCTGCGAAGAAGGGTCCATATCCGCGAGCGGATTTGGACCGGACACGGTCTAGAGGAGACTAAATGCCCGGCAGTCAGAATTTTTTCACAGAATTTCCACCGAAATTATGGTTCTTTCAAACTTCTTGGGAATATCAGATGTTTGCTTAGAAATATCAAGCGATTCCAAAAATTAATTTGGTCTTTTAGTGGACAAATTCTTCGAGCTTGAGCAAACTTTAATATCGCTTGGTTGTCAACGTTTCTGTTCAGACTGCCGGACACGGTCTCGAAAAGCCTAAATACCCGTCAGTCAGAAATTTTCTCCAAAGTGCCACTAAATGGTTCCTTGAAACCTCTAAAGAGTATCAGATGTCTGTTAAGAAATATCAAGCGATTCCAAATGTTAACTTCGTTTTTCGGTGGACAAATTCTCCGAGCTAGTGAAAAAGATAACGTCAATGCTCTTTCAATTTTTTGGCGGGTTAATTAAGTATGCACATAAGGTCTATTCAGATGTCTCTGCCGCCGTTGACGACCAATGTAGTGTGAGCGGAAATCATTCGTTCCGTTTTTTTTTTCTTTTTTTCGTTTAGAAATAATTTCGAAATGTTTTCTGGAAATTTTGTCCTATGAAGAATGGACCGGAATGGTTCATATCGAAATTTTCAACTTCAGTTGTTATCTGAATAGTTCCGCGCCATAGATTCTTTAGTTCTCAATAAGTTTGACAAATCATTCATTAAAAGTCTAAGGTCCTCTCCACAATTTTCTAGGAGAATAGTAAAATGGACCTTAATTTCAATCGCACTTAACTTGACTTGCAAAGATTCGGAACTCTTAACCTCGCATAAGAATAATTTAAAACAAAAGTGTTCCTCAAAAGTGGCATAAGCCTCCAGACGTCAGTTTTCCCTTTGTTCTGAGGTATCACTGCTTTCCATGGGAGCGATTATAGCTCACCCCACGCTCTTCCTAAGGTTTTCCCGTCATACTATAGATATCATTGTGCTCCCTGGTGCTGGGATGCACTTTGAGAGTGAAGTGTATTCAATGCACAAACACAGAAACAAAGCACCTTGAAGACCTGTAACTTTCAGCACGCTAATTAATTCCTTTGATGAATGCATGTGACTATAATTTCCATTATGGCGAGGGCTCTTCAAAAAATTTTTATGATAACAAACTTACCAAGAGCAAGCCAACTTTGCAGACTCCGCATTTAACTTTGTGTGCGTAAAGATCCCTCTCTGGATTGACGCTTGCTAGGACGAAAGCGACAGCACTGTTTTTTATTGTTTGCCGTTGAATGAAGTTCCGAATGAATTTATTTCCCGCCAGTTTTTACTCACTCACCTTGTCCTCCTTACATCGGCTGGACATTGAGTATAGAATCTTTATAAGTGAGCTACGCACAAGATTACGAGTAGGTTATCATTTGATCACTGAGTTCAGCTGTATGTAACCAAACCAGCAACTGCGAGAAAGAGTTGATTCACTCAGTAATCACGTGTTTCTTCATTGCGTGTTGTTTACATTGCATAAGTAATGTTCACGCTTGACGGATCGTGCCAAGTTTTGCCATAATAGACCACTTTGTTTACAAAAACTCGCTCAAAAATACTACTAACATTGATTCTGGGAGATAAACGTTTGACGGGTCTCAAATCCACGCGAGAGCAAACAGCCTCATGCCGTCACTCATCGGCGTCAACAAAATGATGCAAATCAATAGTGAGATAATCTTTGTAAATTATTTCGTGGTTTTGCTTGATATGTTTTTTAAAAGAAAAAAGAAATTTTGAGAGAGATTTTGTCTAACCCCAAACTATTTTTAAAACGCAACTGGAAACCAAAGGCAATCGATCGTTTTTACTATTGATGTATTTATCCGAGAACTGTACATGTATTGGATTTTTACAGAAATTGCCACGAATGTGGTCAAAGAAAACAAAAGATGTACTCAACCATGTACCTTCCTGATCATTCCTTATACGTTCTGATCAATGCGAATAGCACGAGGTACTCTTTATAAATCTGGCTTTGTTTACTAATAATAGACCAACTCTGTTTTATTCTTTTTTTTTAACTGCTCGAGTCTATTCCTCTCTAGCACAATCTAAGATTTCACACCTTCTCTTGCGATAACTGATGCTAAATACCATCCCGCTGAAGCATGATTCGAGTGATCTCGAATCAAAAATCCTGGTCCGGATCATCCCAAAGGAATGCACCCTTTTATTCTATGGAGTATTGTTTATACTCGTTTGATTCATTTTTTTAACTTGGACTTTCTTGATGTGTTGGAGCTACCTCATGGCATGTCTACGTTACTCAATTAAAGGCCTGTTTACGTAAGTAATCCGCCCAGCCGTGCTCGAAAAATTGCACGCGTTCACATGCAATCTTATAACCCAGGACTCCTGAAGTGAAGTTTCTAGAGGTTGCATTGTTGGAGAGCTTGCAAATTAAACGTGAACGCGAACCCTGCTTGGCAAGTTACTCCACCTTGAGACATTTACATGGCAAGTTGTGGCCTGAGAAGGTTACCCTTGCCGGAGACCGGGCAGCCTGATTAGGCGGGTTACCTCGGGCGGGTTACCCCACTTAGGCGGGTTGCCTTACCTACCTGGAGTCCCCCACCTCCATGTGAACAGGCCATAGGTCGCGAGCACTATAACCCTTTGCCTTCTCCCTCCAGTAGCGTGTGACGCACCCCTAAATTACCGGTTGATTAAGACCTTAGAAAGTGTCAGCTGTAGTATTAAAAGTAAACCATACGTGTATTTACAACAGAAACAAGATGACATTGAAAGAAAACGTTTATATGAAAATACGATCAACTGACGGCCGAACAGTCAAGGCACATCAGAGATTATGATCAATCAAATACTTTTACTATTCCGTATCTATCGTTGGGACTGTGATCATTTTTAATTTTTTAGCAGAGCAAGAGAATTGACATCTTGAGCAGAGCAAGAGAATATAAAATTTACAATCTCTTGAAAAGATATATTTATCTTACATGTTGACATGAACATTTTTTAATCTCTGATATGGAATCCTCGATCTTGAAAACTCTTCGCTACCCGCCCGCAAGGAGTTATGGGAGCAAGGGCTTTGGGAATAAGATTTATAGCTATTATCCTGTTGCTCGTGTGTATCACTTCAGGTAGTAAGTCGTGCACAGAGGTCATACCCAGGGCATCTCCATCGGTTTTTTACTGATGATCAAATGGAGAACAGACGCGTTGATGACATCACCGTGAACAGTATTTTTCCTTTTTTTATTCCAAAAAATAAAGAGATTTCATGTTGCCCTGGGTCTTTCAAATCGTAGATCACAAAAGACGTTTCGAATCGCCGCTTTTCATTAGCCTGACGCACAACTCATGTAATCTAGATTGTGCTGAACGATTTTATTGCGTTTAAATAAAGTTACATATCTATCATCTAAATGCAGCTTGCGTAGC